AGTGCTTTTAGGAATCAGATTGCAAACATACTAAAAGGGAAGTTAATGAGGTAGCACATAGATTAGCAAAATTTGCTTTAGAAAGCAAAGACAAGTGTTGGATCGATGAGTGCACTGAGATAGTTGAATCTATTATTACTGATGAATGTGTTCGATTTTGATGAATGAAATATTGAGTGAGTTTTACTCTAAAAAAACTAAAAAGACATGCTATAATGGTTAGTTTATAATTATTTCTCTTTTCTCTCAGTAGTTAATGTGTGTTTAACAAATATTTTCTTTTCTTTAAGTACTTCTAATGCCTAATTTTTTACATATTTGTGTAATTCAAACAACTTTTTTAGCTTTTTTTTAGTTAGAAATGAATGCATTAAAAAAGTTAAGATCTAAAGATTTTTAAGATTAACAACACAAATGCTAAACTAACTTTTTTTGTAATTAATATCTAAATTTCTTTTTTCATTTTTTCTACTTACAATTCTATATTTTCTTTTATATCTTATGTTCTATGTTACATTAACTTTTTTTTTTTTCTAATTACATTAACTGAATGTTATATCTTTCAACTGCCTTACAAAATTAAAAACTGCGACAAATTACATGACAACACACTAATATGTGATAAAATAAGAACTTTATGAACACTAATATGCGAATACCATGTAAGTTGGTGCCCTTATGCCATGTATACGCCAATTCAATATAAAATTTTATATTTTTCCACATAAATGTTGATGTGGCAATGATATTGACCACATAGACAAACGTGACAAAAATAATGGACTTCAACTGTTTTATCCAAAACATGAGCTTAATAAAATAACAATAATATTTTGACTCAATTTGGTACAATAAAATTATGCCATTATAAGCAAAATATCAAAATTAACACCCATAGTTGTGTAGCAAAATCCCTAAAATTGTCTTTATGGAATCCGACGGTTAGTGTATTGATAAATCTAAGAAATAGAGTTATTTTCAGTATTTAAATGAGTTACTTTTGCTTCATTTTTGGTAAAATATGCTTATTTTTACTCCTAATATGTTTGATTTACTGTTTTGTAGGAAATCCTGAAGAAAAAATTGAATCTTGGAGACTCTCGAAAAATCTTAGAATTTCTTGGATGATTCTTGGTATATTTTCAGTAATCTTAGACTGTTCTTGATGTGTTCTTGTTGACTATTGAAAATCTTGAAGTTGGATTGATAAATCTCTGTAAGATTTACCTTACCAAACCTATTGGAGTTAAAATTGATAAATCTTGTTGAAAATTTCAAAAATTTCAGGGAAGAATTATGTAAAGGATATTTGGCTATGTTTGGAGATAGATGTGTAATTTCAAGTTAAATGTAAATCCAAGATGTTTTATGTAGGTGGGCATGCATGGGATTAATAATGGATGACATGGCAATAAATATCTTTTTATTGGACAAGAGAGATTATTTGGAGGCTTATGTGACATGATGACTTGGAAGTTTTGTCCATACTTGAAAAAATCCAAATAACCCTTAGTTTTCCTATCTCAAGAAGGTTTTCCTACTTTAACTTAGAAATCATATTTTGAATGGATATACATACCAATGATAGGATTTACATGAAGATACAAGAGCACTATAAAAAAGTGGCAATACATAAGGAGAACACAACTCAAAATTTTACTTCTCTCTTTTTTAAAAACTCTTCAACCAGAAGTATAACTCGAAGAACTAAGAAACTGATCTGAGACCAATTGATTTCAAGATAAGATCAAATCGAGAAAGGTTCAAAAAGAGCTAAAGCCTAGTGCAAGTTGGAGTCTTTGTTTAAAAAGACTGCCAAGGGTTTAAAAGTAATTACAAAACATTCTTTTCTTTTAAAAAAAGCCCTAGCCACCATTTACTTATCCTCCTAAATTTGGGATTCTTTGTATTTTTATTCAATATATAGCTAGCTTAGACATAGGAAAAATCATGTTTACGATGACAACCCAACCTAAAGTAATTTAGCTTTCTTAAGTTTTCTTATTCTTTACTTGTCATATTTTTAAGTTTTCTTTAAATTATTTTAAGTTTATGCAAAATTCAATTTCAATTTTCTTTTAAATTCAAGTTTTGTTTTGTTTGCAATTTAATTCAATCTTTCTTAAATTTCTGTTATTGCTTTCAATTTAATTCAATTTGCATTATATCTTTTTAAGTGTTTTAATGTAATTCGTGCTTTTTAAGCTATGTTCTTGATATAATTAAGGGTAAAAAATTTTAACACTTAGTTTTCTTCCATATATTTCAATTTTCATGAAAATGATACTCTATTCATTCTATATTACTTGCTTCATTTCTATGCACTTGAAAATTCTCAATCATGTATAGAATTCCAAACTTTGAAGATTATATTAATTTATTAAAATAATAATGAATTTCCTACCCAAACAAAGATTATATAAATAAAAAAAATGTGGAGAGAAATATATAATATTCTTTTAGTTCATTATAAAGAATATTTGAAAGAGCACAATCTTAGTATGTAAAATTAATTTTTATTTGATAGGAAGTAAGTTTTTTATGCACACATTATAAAGGTAAAAATTGTCTATAATTGATTTTACATATATATATATATATATATATATGTCATCAAACCTAAGTGAAAAAAATTTATCACACTTTTGGATAGAAATAAGATTATTTCTTAAGCTAATGATTTAATCACTTTTGATAATCTAAGAAAATTAAAATCACCAATTCCCTCATTTCAAAAAACAAAAAACAAATTACCAATTCCCTACCAAACACAATCATCTAACCAATATTAAGTAAAGATATTCATCACCATGAATTTTGGGATTATTATTCCATACCAAATGTCAAGTAGTTTAAGCATCATCTAATGCAACTAATAATTAGACTATTTAAATTACTTTCAGTTATCAATAACATAACATATCATTAGAAATTCATTTCCAAATAATAATACATTAGGCAAAGAAATTCTCAAACTTAAATTATAATTTTATGAAATAGCTATATGCTATTGTTGTGCAATTATTATCTTTTTTAAGTAAAACTAAAACTTATTTAAAAAAAAAATAGAGTAATAATCAAGATTCAAATTAATGATAATTTAATTGTTGAGTATTTTTCTAAAAACATTGTACAAAATTCAGAATTATGGGACAATATAAATGCATATGTTACATTATGAATTATTTAGATGTGCTATATATAGTAGTTGGACTTATAAATAATAGAATCAAAGTAGATATTCCTAATGAAAAAAATCACTTCATGTCTTGGGAGCATGTGTGTGTGTGTGTGTGTGTGTGTGTGTATATACACTAAAGTTTCATTTAAAGGGAACAGTGCAATGTGAAATATTATTGATTTTAATGTGGTTTGTTCAATTTAAAATTAAATTATTAATTTGAAATATTTATAAAGATATTATATTATCCACTACTTTAAATTTTGGATTTTGTACTTTAATAAATATAGAAGAAAGATAGATGGATAAAAAATAGACTAGATACCATGAAACTCTTTTGATGTTTCTTCGCTTATGGACATTATTTAAAAGAAATTGAATTAAAAATATCACAATTTAATTTTATTTTTCAAAATTTTTTTTTATAATCTTTAGAAAAAGATTAAGATTATATATGAAAGAATCAAAGTTTTGTTTGTTATATACTAGTATACTTAATAATATATAAATATATTAAGAAGTAAAATTAATTTAATTAATGGTTAAATTTCCTCTTGGGTTTTCAAGATGGAAGGTTCCTATTATGAGATAAGCCTGTCACCCTCGTCGACAACTGCAAAGATTTAGGTGTGAATAAGTATCCCTTTCATTTCATGCCCTACATTTTTCAATTTTGTTCTGTTTTACTTTTTTTAAAAATGATAATATTACAGATTAATACTACTAATAGAAACAAAAATAATTAAGAATTGATAGCAAAGATTTCGAGAATATTAAACAAAAATGAGGAAAATAATTAAGAATGGACAGCAAAGATTTCAAGAATATTAAACAAAAAGGAGGAAACCAAACAGGCGTGGGTGTGCTTAAAGAACTCCTACATCTATAGAGTAATAGATCTAATAATTTTTAAAACCACATAATAATAATACAAAATAAAAAATAATATTATTTAAAATTTTAGAAAAAAATTATATAAATTCATTAAAAATAAAAAATATATATTTTGTATTTGATATATTAATACGAATTATGATAAAATAATGTTTTTATATTTTTTACATATTTGACATAAATTAAAATCGATTCAAATATTCAAATTACTCAATTTATGCAAAGGCAACACTCTAACAATTTTAAATAGACAGAACTGATATTAGATAAAAATAGAACTCCAAGAAACAGTCGTGATGAAGATGATTAATTTATTTAGAATTAAATTACTGCAACTAGGCACGCTGAATTAAAGTATATTATATAATAAATTACTGCAGTGGTACCAAGTAGGATTAATAAAATAAACAAAATTCATTTGCTTTTTAATTAAAAAAGTATTATAATAATATAAAAAACTAAGCACTCTACTTCCACTAATGTTTTAACTTTCAACTCGGTTTCAGTCAAACTTCCAGGCAGCCATAGCAATAATTGCGCTGCAAGAAATAAAGGCTTTATCGACGAAACTTTCCCGTCGGTGAAGTCCTTTTTTCTGTTGAAATTAGGCATTATGGATGAAATTTTTAACAGTAATTTTCCGTTCCGCTGCTGAAAATCGTTTGCCTTTTTTCTTTTTTTCACAGTTTAAGACTAGGCTTAATTCTCCAATCAGTGTATCTCAGTTTTCATGCAAAGAACACGATATATAAATTTATATTTCAGCAGGCTTATCTTCAATGACCAATATTTAATTACATACGCAAAGCTTAAACGGATCAACCATCTTCATATGATTTAATTAGTAATTCAACCATATTGAATAGTGAATTCTGAATAGAAATTCAATAAGCAAGAATCGAAGTAGGGAATTAAAAGGCATAACCTTTTGTTGGTGAAAACGAAACCAGCAATACCGCCGACTTTCTCCATGGCTCTCCTCCATTTCATCACCGTCTCCTTTCCAAACCTGTTTTCATGGCTACAAAAGGCCTCCACAAAAGGTCCTCTCTGTCTTCGAACATGAGAGGGGTCAACCCCATAGAAGACGGGCAGAATCAGTCTCCGCAACTGGCATATCCTGGCCAGTTCTTCAAGGCACCAATGGGAGGAAGCATAGTTTTGAGAGAGAATGACAACGGAAGCAGCCGAGTCTTCAATGGCTTCCAGCAGTCTTGGAGAGATCTCGTCTCCACGGTTCAACCCATCGTCGTCTCGAAAGACTCGGACACCCTTTTCCACAAGCGAGCTGTAGAGTTTCTGCGTGATACCGTGACGGGTATCTTCCCCTCTGAAACTGAGGAACACGTCCCATCGGAGCCTAAAGGACAGCGGAGTTGATGGAACCACGCTGTCGTTCACCATTTTTTATTCCTTTCTCTCCTCTAACTTTTTTAATTTCCCCTTATCTTTTTCTGTTTCTCAAAGCCAGGTATTTCATTCGCCTACCTAGCGTGTTCAGAAGGCCAAGGTCACATGAAAAAGGAAAAAAGCAGTATCAGCAAAAACTACGTATTTTGGTTCTTGTACTGCGTCTCTTTGTATTTCAAAAGAATTAATTAGGTATTCTTTGACAAACCGTACAGTCATGATTGAAACAGTTCCTGCCCATCCTGTGGCTATTTTTGTCCTTCTAGTCTGGATCAAGATAAACACTTAAGTGCAACATGGCGTGAGCAAGGGTCCTGGTGCCGCCACGTTATGAGAGCTAGCTTCTTGTAATTCTGACTTCAAGGAAAATGGTCATGTCTTTTTAACCTAAGCATTGCTTGATGGGAAAAAAAAAAAAAATTGGTTAATTTAATAATTAAATTACAAGAATTATTAGATCAATAAATTTTTTATTTTCACTTATTTTAATTTTTTTACCTGGTAAATAAATCCTTAGATTAGGCTCACGAGCCAACCAGTTGTTTTCCAAGATAAATTATTCTATCTAATAAGTGTATGTTAGAAAGATATGAAAATGAAAAACGAAGCTGATCTTTTTGTGAGCTTTGGGATATATTTGATTAGGACTTGATTATTTCAATCTACCCGTTTAATAGTGCACAATTTTCTTATTCTTACACATCCCTTTAATATTTCAGTTTGAAAATTTATTTTATAATTTTGCTCATTTTGTAAGTTTTTTTCATAAAATATGACTGAAAATTAATTATAACTTCCATAATTGCTGCATAACGAAAGAAAGTTACTTATTTATATTCTCCTCAACCACTTTCAATGTTGCACACTAAGATATTTGTTTAAGAGTTGTATCACCCGTTTAATTTATAAAATTCATTTCAAATTAAAAGAATTTAAACATGAATATAAAACTTGTTACATAGACTTTGACTTAAATTAAAAGTTCATTTAAAAATGCGTTAAACTTTAGGCATAACATTTCAATTACACGTCCAGTCCAATAATTATTTAATTATTTATATAGATTTATATTTATATGTAAAATTATATTGTATAAAATATATTATTTTTTAAATAATATATACTTACATATTAATATCTTATGTCTACATGTATTTGGTTCCACCCAAACACTAAATTAACTTGGCAAAATTATTTTTAGGCTTTATTTTATTAATTATTTATTAAGTCATAGTTAATATTTATTATAAAATTTATTTTTAGTTTTTTATTTGAAAAAGATAAAATCTGGTGTGTCTAGATAGTTTTCGAAAATGAATTGGGTTGGAACAACAAATGAGGTCCACGTTTCATGTTAGACTAGATTTGAACAAATTCAAATTTTGTTAATATCTTATCTAGATTTAGTTCAAATTCAATCCAGTCTATGGAGAGATATGCTCCAAGCAAACTAGCAGTATTCATTCTTTTTTTGAAAAAAAGGTTGAGTTTTTTATTTTATTTCTAGACACGGACAATTACTGTACATGACTACTTTGCTCTACACCTCTCATGTTATCACCATTTTATTTTCTAATACCCTTTGCATGTACATATTTACATTTAGGTTTTATCTAGTACTTATGTTTAACAATTTATTATTAATCTAGTTTTACGATTCTTGTAGCGGTTGAAAATTTAGGATTTAAAACTACATTTGTTTCGTAAAAATTGATTTTAAAAAAATATATTTTGGAAATGTTTACATTTTCTAAAAAAATTAGAAATTTTTAATTATTTAAAGAAGTTAATGAAAAACATTTGTTATTATTTGATTATTTTTTGAAAATTTTTTTTTTCTCAAATAATATTAATATAATTATTAAAATATTAAAAATTATTTATTATTAAAGTATATTGAAACTATTTATTATTAAAATTATTAATATTCAAATATAATTATATTTTAATAATAATATTTAATATTAAAATATTATATTAATATAAAAAATACTTGAAATAAAATCATTTATTAATATTTATATTAATATTTTAAAATATTTAAAATAGTAATACTATTCTTAAAATATTGTTTTTATTAATGTTAAAATAAAAATATTTATTATCAAAACATTTATACTATTAAAATATTTATATTTTATATTAAAATCTCTATTATTAAATCATAACAAAAATATTTTTGTTTATTTTTTTATTAAAATAGTAATATAAATACCTTAATAAATAAAATATAAAATTATATATAACTAAAAATAATAAGAAATTATAAAAACATTCATATTAAGAAAATAATATTATTATATTATTTAACATTAATTATTAAAATAATAATATAATACCATTTTTATTGAAATATTAAAAATATTTATGTTTAGTAAGATACAAAATAAAATATTTAAAATCAATATATCAAAAGACTTTTAATGTTAATATTTTAATTTTTTTAATTAAAATTAAATAAAATATTTTTATTAATATAATAATATTTCAAATCGAATCAAATCAAGTTCAAGCTTAAAATATTATGTTCAAAATCTTACTTGAATAGAATTATAAACATATTTAAAATTAAAATATTAAAAAAAATTTAATATTAATTTTTTAATTTTTTAAGTAAAATTACACAACAATATTATTTATTAATATAATAATATTTTGGATATTGTTAAATCAAGTTTAAGTTTAAAAAAATCATATATAAGGTATGACTTGAGTAAAATTATGTTCAAATATATTCATAAGTATTTTTACTCATAAATAACTCTTTTCTAGAAATTATCTTCTCCTTTCGAAAAGCGAAAGACAATTTTCTAAAAAAATTATCTTATTTTTTGTTGACCAGCCAATTTTACGCAAAACAAACACTTGAAAATACAAAAACCATTTTTCAAAAATAATTTTTTATGAAACAAACAAAGCCTAAAAAAATGGTTTAAAAAGTGTGATAAGGAGGAGGCTTTAAAATCTTAAGGTTTTAAGTTCAAATCCCACTGTATATGGGTTGGGTTCAATTTTATGTTGAGTTTATTTAGTTATGCTCTAATTTGTTAATTAATTGTTTAGTAATTTATTATATATGAATGTAATACTTTGAAGGATAATATAACAATATCTTGAACAAGATCATATATTATAAATAATGTGGAAGACTTACTTGATTTACGAAAATGTTGCAAAAGTAACGGTGACTGGATTCACTGGTTGAGAACAAGATCACGTATTCGAAAATTATCCCTTATCCACAGCATAAGTCCTTAAATACTGAAGTATGAGATTCCTCAAAGAGTTTGCAAGGAATGTCTTATTCCTCTGCTTTGCCAATATCTTTTTTTTCTTTTGTTATTTTCTATGTAACTTATCACATAGTCTCACATATGAATGAGACTTATCTCACACATGGGATAAATACTCTTTAATCATATTTCATCACGGTCGAATGCCATGCTTTATTTGAAAGAAGAAGAGACTTCAACAAAAACTTTTTTATCATCTTCATGTAACAGTCGAATGCCATTATTTTTTCCTTATTTTGTTATGGCCGAAATGCTATTTATAGAAGGAAGGAAAGCTAGATATGGTTGGCTATCTTTGAATTTAAAACACTTCAATTAACTGCCTAGGTAGTTTTTCTTTGATTAAAATCAAACCAATATTTAACTACCCAAAACAATTAGTGTTGGTTCTATTCAACCCATGAATGGATAGACCAACTGTTTCAAATATCTCCCACTCACACAAAATAGGTAGCAAACTTTCATGATCTAGAATATGTTTTCTCTACTTTTTACGATAAGTTCATACAAGAAAATAAGCTATGCAACCAGCATGCTTCAAGAGCTTAGTTGCTATACAACTGCTAGGTGTATATAATAGCTCATAAAGCATATTTAGTCACTTATATAACTGTTAGGTATATATAGTAACTCTCAAATATAAGTAGAGTAAGTGTGCAACACCTTAGATCTATTTAGTCACATTTCAAGTATCTTATGATTTTTCTTTTATCATTTGCATGATATACTTATGTATTCATAATTATATTCGATGTCTCAAACATAATTAGTCAGTCTATGAATACAACCAAATATAACACTAGAATAATCTCTTTTTTTCTAGAATATTTTCATTTTAATTTAATTACTATCCAGATATGTCCCATTAGATTGAATCATCCATGATTATTGGCAACATTCCAAGATAGTTAATATTGGACTAAAACTTTAAGAAACGGTCGAAAGCCCTTAAAAGTGCTAAATATGAAAGCTTATGATCTTAAAGCTCTCATACAATAAGAAACAGAAATCTATTCTTCTATTACCCTTGTTGGTCAAAAAATACATATGTGGTATGAAACACATGCTATGATATTACTTTTATTTTGCCATAGAGCTTATATATTCATCATTAGATATCAATACAGTACAGATGATAGTTCAAATACTTTTAGTATCTAACTTGAGTCCACAACTCGATTTCACATAATCAATAAGACTTCCACCAAACATTTAAGATAGATAAAGTGAATTATGAGATTATTAATTTTCAATCACAAAGCTTAATATCAAGTAACATCATCTTATCCCTTATCAAGGTGATTCCATTTTAAGCTTGGGCTTTTGATTCATAGCTTAAAATTAATTTCATCTCTATAATGTTAAACCATTAAGATGATTGTTTACGTGAAAAAACCAATCATTTGTCTGACATACTTTCCAAATCATAATGTATATTTACATACATATAAGTGTGTGCATGCTTCACAAAACAAAGTGCTAAACTTTAACAACATTAATTGCATTTAATATAAGTCAAGTCAAATAGAAAAAATCATAGATAGTTCACATGAAACATCTTAACCAATATATTCTTATCTACACAACTGTCGAGATTTCATGTGGTTATAAAACATATCTTTAGGCATAGGCTTAGTCAATGGATCTATAATTATCTCATGCATAGATATGTACTTGTTGACTTTATTTGTGCAACCATATCTTCTATAAAATTATATTTGGTATCTTTGTGTTTGGTTTTTGGGATCTGTTTATTAATGTAATTGCTACTTAATTATCGTAATTCACTAACATTGAGTTAGACTTATCTTTCTTAATTCTTAAAAGATTAAAAAATCTCATAAGCCAAATAAATTCTTACACTACTGTTGAAAATACTAAAAGTTTAGCTTTCAATGTGGATGATGCTATTCAAGTCTTTTTCTTACCAATCCAAAATATAAACCAATATTCAATAAGAAAACATAGCTAAAGATAGATTTTTCTTTCATTTAAATCTCCCCTCCAATTGGCATTCGCATAGCTAATTAATGCAAA